TTTTTTTTTTTTTTAAAGAAAAAAAGTGTGTTTATATATCACAAATCTAAACAACAAAATATCAGTAACAGTTGTCTTTTGGAGGTAAGATTACCAGTGATTTTTCCCTTTTCTTTGTGCTTTTCTGTAATTCTAGACTTTTTGTAATGAATATATACTTTAGTTTATTCGGGAAAAACCCAAATATAATGATAAGTAGGGCCATAATAATTACCATCATCTAAACCAAAACCTTCAGACCTTTAATTCCAGATGGGGATAAGACAAATGAACTAGCTCTTCAAGTGGAGGTGAATTTATTTTTCTTCTTATACCCTTCAAAGTCATGAATGCTAAGTTCCTAATTCTAAGAATCTTATTAATGTCTTCTAATAAGTTTATTTAAAAAATGAAAGTCTGATGGGCTCAAGATCCGTGGATATTGATATTGGCATCAGTAGAGATTGGTTTCAGGTGTATCGAAGTTTAGGGAGGGAGGTGGGGTGGAGCCCAGTGGAAAAAACACTAGGTTTAGAATCCCAGTTCCGCTGTTTCCTGGTTATTTGGCCTCAGGCAATTACTTAACCTCTCTGAACCTTGATTACTTCAGCTAAGAAACTATGGGATTGGACTGAATGTTATCTACAATCTTTTCATCTATGAAATTCTAGAGCCCTATACATGGCTCTAAATAATGCTTTATATTTGAGAGGAACTAATAGGTACTGCCTGCTTCAGGAAGTATAAGCAAGTTTGACTCCCAATACAGCTTTGATAGATTGAGACAGATTGTCTGCAAAGCTGTGTTAAGAGGGTTTCTGAGAGTCCACGTGGACTCAGCAGGAGAAAGTGCTATGATCTATTAACAGTGTTGCTGTGGAGAAGAAAGGAAGAGTTTTGGCATTTAATAGTGAGTATTTGAATCATCAAGCTGACTCCTACGCACATATCCAACATTGCCCTGCCTCCCCCCCTTTAAATTTGTAACACAGGGTCCAAAATCTTTTCAAAGTGCAGTAATTTGGAAGGAAATGCATCAAAGTGTATCTGCTTCCCTTCTCCTGTTCCTTTGACATCTCTTAATCAGTGCTGGTAGAGACTGAATAAGACCTTGACTGAATAAAAGCAAAACCTTTAGTAGTTGAGAATTCAGAAGGAAATTTCTTGCTTGTTCCTTACACTTGATATTTCTTGTGGAAGGAGCTGTGAACAGCAACTTGCCAGCTAGTTAGCAGATGTCCTACTATCAGTTCTGAGAATGGGCAGGGTTGTCAGTGAGGTATTCGCAACCATGTTCACTTCTTGCTTCTGTCAAACTCATCCATAGTGTAGAACTCCAGCAGAAATCCTTGAATAAAGATCAATGTCCTGGAGAGAAGCCAGAGGAGCTGGAGTCAGGAGCCATCTATCACTGTCACAACAACTCCAAGGCCACAGAGAACAGAGCAAACGAGCAAGTCTATGCCAAGTGGAAACTCTGTGCTGCTTCGGGAATATGCTTCGTTTTCATGATTACAGAGGTCGTGGGTGAGTATTACTTAAAGAGACTTCTCTGATTAAACAAGCAAACAAACAAAACCCCACATGACTGCAGAAGGGTTATAGAAGTTCTCCTTTGAAAGAAAGATTTCATATTTTTTGTAAGTACTGAGTAACGATATGCTCATTATAGATAAGGTGGAAAATACTAGGAAACAAAATAAAATTCATCACCATCCCACATTTGAGTAATAACCTCTAATAACATTGTGGAGTATTTTTGTAAAATATATTTTTCTATTCATAACTCAATAGTTATTATTAACATAACTTTTTTTTAACATAACTGAGAGCATACTGAATGCTTTTGACCATGCCATCAAATACTCTTCAAAAACATTTTTATGCCTGAATAATATTTTATAATATGCTCCACTGTGATTTACATAACCATCTCCCTATTGTTAGAAATTTAGGGAGGTGTTTTTTTTTTTTTTTTTTCCTGCTGTGGACAATGCTGCAGTGAAAACTCATGAATAAGAGTCTCGCTGCCTCTCTGGTTAATCCCTTGAAAGAGATTCCTAACAGTGGAAAAACTGACTGAAGGACATAAATACTTTTATTACTTCTTGATGCATATTGCCAAACTGCTATCCAGAAAGTTTAAAACAATTCATATGTCTGCCTGCTGTATGTAAGAATAATTCTCCAAATCTTTACCAGAACTTATTTTAATCTTTTAAAAATCTTTGTTAATGTATAGGTTAATATGCTTTATTTTATTATTCATTTTTTTGTTACTGTTAGAATATTTTTGCATGCTTATTAGTAATCTATATTTCCCTTTGTTGATGCATTTCCTGCTTGCCTCTTAATGTCTCCTGCTCATTTGTTTTTTAGATAATTTATAATGTTCTATATTGATCTCTGGGAGCTCTTTATATAGTTAGGATATTGAACTTTTTATATTTGTTATAAGTACTTATTCAGTTTATTGTTTACTTTTTAATTTTTGGTTTGATGTAGAAAAGTTTTAAATTTTATATATGTAATTGTACCAAACATTCCATTTTGAGCTAACTTCTTTTATTGCTCTTTCACTATTTTATTTTATTTATTTTTATTTTTTATTTTTTTAAAGATTTTATTTATTTATTTGACAGAGAGAGACAGCGAGAGCAGGAACACAAGCAGGAGGAGTGGGAGAGGGAGAAGCGGGCTTCCTGCCAAGCAGGGAGCCCGATGTGGGACTCGATCCCAGGAACCTGGGATCATGACCTGAGCCAAAGGCAGACGCTTAATGACTGAGCCACCCAGGTGCCCTGCTCTTTCACTATTTTAGTGCTTTGGTCCCTATCTACTGAGAAAATAAATATCATTTTGTTGTTCAATTTTTTGCATTTAATTTTAAATCATTGTGGGATTAGATATGCTCTAAGGACTACAAATTCTTTTTCTAAGTAACAGTTTTCTGCATTATTTCTGGAATAATTAATTATTCCTTCCATTGATTTTTGATGTTTCTTTAATCATTTATCAATATTTTATAAAAGAATAATGGTTTGGTTCTAAGGTGTTTCATTGATCTGTATTGTTCTTCTCTGTTACTAGTAACATATTTAATTAACATAGATTTATATGTTATAATATCTGTTGTTCTTTCCTCATTATTCCTTGTTTAACAGAAAAAAGGAAAAATCCATTTATTTCTGTTTATTATTCTAATACATGAGAACCATTGTGTTGAGTTCTCTCCAAAATCAGATTATGATTTTACTGGTATGTAAGTTAATTTGGAAACACAAATCTCTTTAAAATACTCAGTTTTCTCCTCTAGGAATATGGTATGTCTCTCCATTTATCCAAATACTCTACATCTCTCATTTGTTTTGTGATTTTAGTTAGTTAGCTTATTTGTTTTAATACAGGGGCAGACTATTTCTTGCCAAGGTTATTTAGATGTGTTTGGTTTATTCTTTCCAGAGGTGAGTGGGGTTTTCCTTTTTGCACATCCTCTTTTCTAGGTGGTTACTTTTGGTATTCTCGAATGTTTTCCATTTTGCATATTCATTTTATACTAATCAGTGTATTTGCAGTATTTTTGTTCTAAATGTATCTCAACCCATTTTCTTTGTTCCTCTCTCATCCATCCTTCCCCCTCCTAGGAGATAACACTCTCGTGCAAAAAACATATTTCTCTTCTTTTTCAATAATTATATCTCTTCTGTATGTTTCATATTTTTATCATGTTAAATAATACTTTATGCTAAATCAAATCTTCTGTTCAACTATTTAAGTGAAATGTTTCCTGAGAGGTAAAGTATTTTCATTCTATGAATGAAGTGGGTTTTTTCCCTAGTCTTAAATGTTTAACAAATAATTAAGGATACTTGTTGATTTTTATCAAGTATATTTTCCTTTAAACATACTCCGTTAAAATTTTTTTGACACATTGTTGATGTGTTTCATATTCAGAGATTTCCAAATATAATACAGTCTTTGCATTTCTGGCATTCTGATAATAATAACTGATATCTACTTAATGCTTATTATGTGCCAGGAACTGTGAGGAGTGCTTGTCATTATGTTACCTTACTTAATCCTGTCGAAATCCCTGAGAGGTAGGTCCTCTTATAATTAGTTGCACCATATAGATGAGGAACCTGAAATGCAAAAAGTACTTTATTTGAGTACTTTTAAGTGGGCAGGCAGTCTGAATTCAGGGGCTCATGTTCCTAAGCTGTGCCTCTCAAATTCACTGTGGTGGACCATTCTTTCAATGCACTGCTCAATCTGGGTCACTCATATTTTCACTAGGAATTTTTATCTTTATTGATAATTGAAATTGATAGTTTCTGTTTGGAGCTATTTTCCTAAGTTTTTGAATTAGAGTTATGCATATTAAAATGAAAAGTTTAGTCTTAATGATACCTCTTTTTTAATTAAAAAAATGGAAATGATTTATATAACTCTGTAATTATATCTTCCTTTTTAAAAACAGATCCCTGGCAAATTGTCTAGCTTTGGAGACATTCTTGGAAACAATTTTAAAAATATATTTATTAGCTTCTTCCTCATTTTTTGATGTACTCAAAATTTCTACTTCTCTAGTAAATTTTGGTCATTTATGTTTTTTCAAAGTCAGCCATCTCATTGAAATTTTCCAATTTATTTTCATACATTGGAACATGACAGTTTCATATTAATATTCTCTTCTTTATTCTAGCTTCTTTCTCATTTTAATATTGCTTATATATTTTCTTTTCCTTCATTTAACTTGGTAGGTGTCTAGTTTATTTACATTATTTATATGTGTGTATATATATACATATTGAATATATTATTATCTAAATTTTTCCTCTGTTTTTAATTCACAGTTTTGGCTTTAAAAATATTTGTTGTTTCCTCCATCTTTCTTCAGGGTTGTAATCTTATTGCATATTTTAATATCTTGAGTTATATCCTTCTCTGATTATTTTTATCCTTTCTTTTTATTAATGATAAAATTATGTTTAACTATGAACTTAGTCTAAAAGTTTTGATATGCAATGTATCTTATTTATTATTTCTACCCCCCAAAATAAAAAAAAGAACACTAGGAACTACCTGGCATACAGTCTCATAAGCTACTATTACTCCATTACCACAATTACCTGTTACACTCTTACCAATATTTTGGCTTCATTTTTTGTTACCCAAAAGGTGGGCTAAATTAATAATAATCCAAGACTGGAGGAAGGCAGTCTGAATCCAGGGGCTCATGTTCAGGAAAACAGAACCTGCTATGTTTTTGTCTTTGTTTTGTTTTGGCTTGGTTTGGTTTTGCACTATCAAAGCTAACAATCGGAATTAATTGGTTTCTTAAACCTCTGGAGTCTTATAGCCTATTTATCCACTCAGACTTTTATACCTTTTGAAAACTGGAAAAGAACTTAGACTCATCCAGTCCAAGAAAAATCCAGGGTTGACAACTAATTTTCCAGTCAAAGATTATAAAAATAACTGATACCATACCAGGGTAAGTCTTTTGAAGGAACCGAATTAATAGCTTGATGAAGTTGCAAGGAATTTACTTTGAGTAGTTCCAATTTGAAAATTCACTTGGAAAATCCACTGACATTTATGCCAGATGTATATGTCTTTTTATTAGTTAAATTCATAAGATCATGGACAGTATTCTATTGCTCATGTAAGAGATGGATAAAATGGAAAATTTTAAGAACAGAATCTATTCAAAATGTGGCTTAAAAAGGTGATGTTCTGGAAATTCATAGCTCTCCAGATAAAGCATTGGCACCACTGCATGCAAACACAGCTCAGCAAGATGTATAAACTGGCTTGTTTTCTCTACTACTTTCTTCCTCTGCTTTCCCCAGAATCCATGTAGATGCTGAGAACAGAGGGCATCTTCTCCCCAGCTGATGTCTAATCATGAGATGGTCTCCCATTCATAAAACTCACTTTTCTCCTTGTACCTTTCCTATGCCCTGTCATGTTGCTTCAAGATAACTTATATTTTTAGGGGAGCGGGGATGAAAAACTATTCACTTGGAGCGAGCCAATCAATCTCCCTCTTCCCTCTCATTCTTAATAATTAATTAGTCTATAAATTCTAATCTGGCTTCAGTTTAGAGCCAGAAGAAAGTGATGTTGTCAGTACAGGAATTAAATGGATACTGACAGACTCATTTGGAAGTTGAGCTGCATTGATTTTGAACTGATTTCCCTAAAACATTGCTCTCATCATGTTAAATCTGTCTTCAGAATTCTTCAATGGTTCCTCTTTGCCTAGTTCAGTGCTTCACAACGTTTCCCCCATCACGGCAAGCACAAGACAAATTACTGAGTACTGGGGTAGACCCACGAGCGTGCTGTAGCAGGGAGAGGGTGGTTCAGGGGCTCCCTCTGTGCTTGGGCTCACTGGGCTACCCCAAGTGAAAAGAGATCAATGTATTCGAACTTTCTGGCATTCTGGAAAATTTGACTTTCAAGTCATTCCATCATCTGGCTGCCAACCGACTATCAGTCTCTTTCTTTTACTATGTCACAACATGACTCTTCTGTTCCAGCTGTTAATCCATCCTGTGCAAAATAGCATTGTATCTTAAAGTCTCTGTAGCTTTTGCTTATGTCTTTTTATTTGAATGGAAAATGCCTCTCCTCATTCCCTGCACTCATCAAAACCCTGATCATCATTCAAGACCCCAACCAGACCTCACCTAAAGCCATTCTTGACCAGGTCAGAGAAAGCGATTCTTATTCTCAGGTCACTTTTGGGAATCCGGGAGGTCCTCATACAGGGTATGGGATTTGAGACAGGCCTTAAAGTTTGTGTGGGAATCGAAAGATGGCTAAGAGGGAGATGAAAAAGGCCTTCCAGAGGGAGGGCCCTGATGAGCAGCAGCTGATAACTACTGTGGTCCAGGAGGTACCAAATATCAGCCTTGCTTGGAAAGATTTTAAGTGGGTGGGTCGGCAATAGGACAGGAAATCTGTATTCTTAGAAAGAAATTCAAGTGATTCTTGATGTGTAGCTACATTTGGGGGCCACCGTTTGTAGTGGTCAAGGATTGCCTGTTCCAGAAGCTTCCTCCTACTCTGTGCTGGCTGCAGTTCTGGTCCTCCTGGACCAAGAAACTCACGCTCAGAGGCAAGGCTGGGCATGAGACGCCAAGCAAGATTATTCAGTTTCTGGGTCTTTTTCATAGAGAGGCTGGGCAGGGCGGGGAGGGGGGAAGCTTGCTATCCTCCACAAATACTCTGCTGAAATGATATAAACCTGGAGCTTCCCAAGTCCAACCCTTCTTGCTAAGGGTGAGGTAGTCTGTCTTCAGTAAGACAATAAATAGCAATAGTTAGAGACAGAGCAGAGCCCCCCAAACGTTTTTTGAACCTTAGGATTAGGCTGCACTTGATCCAATCCCACCCTGGTTTGTTCTCAGTTGTTTGGGTCAATAAATTATCATTTTGTTGTTGTTGTTGAAGCCAGTTTGAGTTAGGCATTTATGACTTACAACTGGACCTCTGAAAGATCTACCAAAGTCAGTGATGTAAGATAAACAGAACAAGTGCAGAATAGAACTAGAATGGTAGCTGGGGTTCAAGAAAGACCATGAGGCTTGACTGGAGAATCTGGATTAAATCTGGAGGCCTTGCAGAATAACTGACATTTAGAACAGGGGAGAACCAGGTCAAAGGGCTGTGTTTTGAAAGAGAATTGGCCACAGAGCAGATTGGTGGAAGGAATTAAAGAAGGCTATGAGCATTAGTGTGTCTACTGTCAAGGGGCCTTTGAACCTGTTGAATTGGGAGTCTTTCTGATGGCCTGTGAAAATTCCTAATTATGGAAAGGCCTTATCATGCATATGTAAACGTGTATCCCTATTTAAAAAGACAGACATATAGATACTGAGAGCTCAAAAAATCAGCTCAAGCATGGCCACTGCTGGAAGCAACTGAGAACGGTCAGAGAGAGACATCCTGAAGGAGGACTATTTAGAATGTGAAGCACAGATGGAGGATGCAGGAGGTTGCCAGACAGGAAAACAGGGCTGGGAGCGGGCTGGGGAAGATAGTAAGTACCTCAGAGTACAGAACTTCTCCTAGAGAAGTGTCCAAACACACCTATGCAAACTGGTGTGTTTTAAATACTTGTTAAGTAATAACTCCATGCATTGAGTTTTTGATAGTATAATTTTGTTTTTATAGTATACTATTATGATACATTATTATTATTAATATACTATTATGTAGGATTATATAGCATAATAATGCTATTCATAAGATAGTTAAAGGATTTTAAAAAATATGAATTAATAGCAGAGAGTGGTGTCATCCAATAATGGGACACAGGCCAATGTTGTCAGAGAGATATTTGCTTTTTTCATTCCAGTCGGTATGTCTCTGTTCTCCACAAAGCATGTCATGTGTACTTAACATCCACTCTCTGAACCTGAGGTGAGTATGACATACAGGCCCAATGGCTCCGCCGATGTCCTCTTACCCCACAAGCCCTCAGAAGAGTGCATTTCCAGAATTTAGTCCTTAGTGCCTCTCCTATCTTGTTATCAGTACACTGCTTTCTCCATCTTGTCAGTAATCCATAAATGAGTGCTCCTGCCTTCCTTCATGCCTTCCTCATATTTCCTTGGCTCTTACTCTTGTGCCTTAACCTCCAGCTTCTCCTCGCTCCAGGTCAGCCTCCACATTGCCAGCAAGGATCTCTCTCTTCAGTACAGATTTGAGTATGTCACAGCCTCACCTCAAAATCATAGTAGATTCCCCTATCCCATAGGATAACATTCAAATTCTTTAGCCTGACATAGTTTCCCACAAGTGGGTCCCCAACCCATGTCTCCACTCTTATTTCTGATTATTCCTCCAACACTCCACTCCTCTCGCTTTTCCACAATGGCACCATCTTCTTTCATTTCTGTTTTTGTTCCTGCTCTTGCCTCCTCCTGAAAAACCCTTCCCCTCTAGCTCAGTCTTACCCCTCCCTCTGTGAAAACTTCCTCAATGCTCCCAAGGAGAGTGGTTGTCTGATCCTCTAGCCCACCGCACATGTCTCCAGTACAGTGCATGTTGGACAATGAGATCACTGAAGACAGAGACTGTGATGTGTTTAACTCTGTTTATCTTTGTATACCCCATCCCTGTACCGCACACAGCAAGGGCTCAATAAATACGGGCTGGATGGCTGCGTTCATTGTCAATAATACCCCATGCTTTCAGAAGCAAATGCAAGTTCAGTCAGAAACTACCTCTTGCACACAGTTTTCTCCATAGGATTCAGCATGATCGCTCACAGTTTTCTGGGCTATTCTTATAAGTAGCAATGATGGTTGCAAACTGGTTCTCACTTCCCGGGCCTCCATATAAATATGCTTCTTCCAAAGCAAGTTCTTTTTCTCACTCAGTTGCCTCCTGATTCAGCTGAGCCTGTTGAAGAACCCCTATAGGACTCCATTTCCTTGACTTAGGCTACAATTTGAGCCCAGCACATGGAATTGTCACCATCGTTCTTTGCTGAGATGGTGGGCGGCTGCTAATCTGCATGTAGCCATTCTTCATGTAAGAAATAATGCATTATTAACACAGCTTTATTATCAGACCTGAGTTTGGCAGATAGAGCAACATTAGAGGATAACTGGAAGAAAAGCTGATTTGTTAGCAAAATGTTGCTTTTTGGCTAATGAATCATTCTGATTTTTTGCACTGACAGCTCAGTAACAAGCTTGAGACTACTTTGTTTCAGCCCATTAAACTTTGACAAACCAGATATTAACTACAGCTAGAGCCAGTGGTCTGTGGGGATTATTGCAATTATGAGCCATATATGTAATTTTTAAAAATCATTAGTTGAGACAAGGTGAGTCTGATGATGGAGGGGCTGGTGACTGATAGTCCCTGTTGCCTCATCGTACATAGGCAATAAACAGCTGCCGGGAGGACAATGGGTCAGCAATACCTCTTTTTTGGGGGGAAGAAGTAGTAAGAGCAATCCAGATTGATCTCCAACAAGGAGCCCTGTTTGGGAAGGAAGAGACAGAAGTTTCTTCTAACTTCTATTTTGGAGGCTGGAGGTCTTTTCTCGAAGGGGAACTAGAAGGAGGTAGAGAAGGCAAACCAAATAGAAAGAAAGGCAAGGCAGGATTGCCATGGTTTGGGTTCTCTTCCTATGCTTTTTTTTTTTTTTTAATTTTTTAATTTTTAATTTTTTTATTATGTTGTTAGTCACCATACAGTACTTCATTGGTTTTTGATGTAGTGTTCTATGATTCATTGTCTTCCTATGCTTTACTGGGTTGTAATTACAGTCAAGGACCCCAGCCCTTTCCTTTACTGTTCCCCACTATTCATAGTAGGGGTCTTGAACTCAGGCGGATAATACAAATTAGTAGAGCAGAAGGAAGTGGTGAAGATGATAGTAAAATCACAAGTCAAATGCAGACACAGCTGTGTGCCAGACCGCAACCCCTGGGTTACAGACAGAAGCCCAGGTCCTCAGCCTTAAGAGCAAGATTCTTCAAATCCAGCCCACACCTCTCCAGCCTCATCTTTTCATATTCTTTTTGAACTCTTATGTCCCCATCTAACTGGGATGTTCTCTAGACGTGTCCCACACTTTCCAGTCTCTGCCCCTTTGCTCTTTGAGGAATGGCCGCTCCCCTGAAATCCATTTCTATGTGCTCACATCCTACACACTCTCTGGGTGTCAGTTTCTTGTCAAATTGGGAAGAAGAGGTAGACTGAATCCATGTTAAGACCTTTTCTCATAAAGTTTTATGAGTCTGTGGCATCTTTCACCAACTGTGGTTAGTACACGTGTGAAACTAGTTGCATTCTGGGGCCCTAATCCCACGTAATGTTCTGCATCCCCTAGGTGGGCACGTTGCTGGGAGTCTTGCTGTCATCACAGACGCTGCCCATCTCTTAATTGACCTGACCAGTTTCCTGCTCAGTCTCTTCTCCTTGTGGTTGTCATCGAAGCCCCCTTCGAAGCAGCTGACATTTGGATGGCACCGGGCAGGTACAGTTCACCCACTGAGCATTAATGGCAAAGTAGCTGTGCAGTCAGACCAAGGATAAAAACAGAAGAAACAAAGCAAAGCCTTGTTCGAAAATCCCTTAGAGGCACATCGGTGCACAGAATATAAAGGATGTGTGCATGGGAACACGTGCTCTCAATGTTGATTTGGCAAAAAGCCAGATTAATTGCGCTACCTCTACTGCAATAGGACAACAAGAACACCTGTATCGCTTTAGCAACCGCCCCAGCCCAAGGGTCTCAGTGTACAGGAATAGCCACGAGACCATTCATTAAGCTACTCTGCATCTGGGAGGGAGGATGGGATAAAGCTTCTACCATTTTACAAACTAAGGTACAGAGAGCCCCGGACAGCTGGAGAGATTGAAGAACTTCTCACAGGTAAGTCGAGAATGGAATGGGAAGGAGAATTTAGGGCAGAGCAAGGGTGGACAACACGCTGACATGGTCAGCCTTCATTGAAAGCTGCCTCTAGATACAGACCACAACTTATACACTGACAATGTGGGCTGTGGTTTTTCAAGCTTAACTGGTAGAAAGTTCTAATTTCACACCAAACAATTTATCATCACAAGTGTTTTGAATTGCCTATCCTTTAACATGCAGAGAGAAGGAGAGGGAGAGTGAGAGATGAGGCAATAAACATCAATAAAAAGAATTTGTGACAATGTGATCTGAAGATGCTTTTCAGTCCCTGAACAGTGCTATGCTTGGAAAACACGTATCTTTGGCTGAGCACCTGTCATTTTTCTGTATATATTTTTACATGTACTTTCCCCATTCTGATACTATATATCAAAGCTGTTTTGTAAACACAGAGAGAACTTAGAATACTGCTTGTTTTTCTCATCCCGGTGATGGAAGCCCATGAGCACTGATGCTCTAGAAGACCAGTGCTGTTCACTAGAACTCTCTGCTTCAAGAGAAATGTTCCATAATATAGAGTATAATGTGGCCATAGAGCACTTTATTTTCTTTTTAATTTTATTAATTTTTTAAAGTAGGCTCCACGCCCAGCATGGAGCCCAACGTGGGGCTTGAACTCACGACCCTGAGATCAGGACCTGAGCTGAGATTAAGAGTCGGACGCTCAACCCCCTGAACCATGCAGGCGCCCTAATAGAGCACTTTAAATGTGGCTACTGCTACTGAAGAACCAGATTTTTAATTTTACTTAATTTAAATGGAAACAGTCACATGTGATGATGGTTACCATATGAGGCAGCCCTGTTAGAGACATATAGGTGAAAATGAACTAGCTTGTCACACATGTAATTTCATGGATGGCTTTGTTTAGGAAGAAGCTAAGTTATAAAAAATAAATTTATTAAAAAAATATAAGTGGCTAATGAGAAAGGTGGCATGCAGATGTGGTTACAATCATGAAGGCTGTGTGTAAATGACCAAAGTCTGGGAAACAATAGCCCCACACTAGGAAAACAGTATGTTACACTGTTCTGCTTTAAAAGAGGGAAGGCCAGGGCGCCTGGGTGGCTCAGTTGGTTAAGCGACTGCCTTCGGCTCAGGTCATGATCCTGGAGTCCCGGGATCAAGTCCCATATCGGGCTCCCTGCTCGGCAGGGGGTCTGCTTCTCCCTCTGCCCTCTTCCCTCTCGTGCTCTCTGTCTCTCATTCTCTCCCTCTCAAATAAATAAATAAAATCTTTAAAAAAATAATAATAAAATAAAATAAAAGAGGGAAGGCCAAAAGTACCAAATGTGCCTGGCCACTGAGTCCCAGATTTCTAGACCCTCCTAGGCTTTTAGTACCTACCTACAAGGTTAAGTTAAAGATCAGGGTGAGATGTTAAGGAACTCTTAAGTGAGCAAAGGTGCTTTACTCGGCCTGCAGACTGAACACTAACTTATCTTTAAATATTAATGTAAATGTCTCCACTCATACTTATTTGCCATATAGTTGCTCTTAAAATGCCGTCAGAGTGTTGATATACCTCTGAGCTTGCCTCTGTGTTTATAATACACTGGGCTGGCAAGTGAAACTCATTTTCATCAAGTACCCTCTGAAGCCTTCCCTTGTGACTATTTTATTCCACACAAGGTACCAGTACTGACAAATTGTAAATGTTTTGTGACGAAATTAAGAATTTCTAAACACATTTTACTCTCTGTGTCTCATTATTTCATCTCCTAATAAGTTTCAATCATTTTAGCACCTGTTTAAATTAAAATCCCCGAGGAAAACAGCAATGGCAGAGAGCGATTAATATGCTTTAAAAATTTGCTAGAAATTACTTAGTAAATGGAGCATAATGAACTCAGACGCTGGTGTTTTATGAACGCAACATTGAAGTGTCTCATCTTAGTGCTAAAAAACCCATCCACACTTCTGCTTTGTGAATCACTGAGTGAACTAGTTTAAAGCCTCTTTGAGGGGAGGGGGGTACATCAAGGAACAGGAATGTCTTATGACTCTTGGGAGGTTAAGGCGATTGACAAAGTCTTTGTGTATGGGTGTCTGTGTGCTTGAATCCCTAGAGATCCTTGGTGCCCTGCTGTCCATCTTGTGCGTCTGGGTGCTGACTGGGGTGCTGGTGTACCTGGCATGTGAACGCCTGCTCTACCCTGATTACCAGATCCAGGCGACTGTGATGATCATTGTTTCAGGCTGTGCTGTGGCAGCTAACATTATGTAAGTCACCCCACACACTGCCCATAAAGCTTGTCTTGAACCCTGTGTGGACGCAGGTGGTGGGGTTTCTGTTGATGCTGTTTGTTTTTGTTTAATTTCTCTACTAGTGAAGATGGTAAAGTGAATAAATTGCCAATGAGGTAGTGAAGAGCCAGGATCCGAATCTAGATCCACTAGGCCCAGAATCGAGCTCCTAGCCAGTCTGCTCTCTCATGCATTTTGATGGTTCCATATGGGATATGACTTATTCCTACTTAGTTTTTGTTACATGAACACATTATGGGTTCCCAGAGGGCTGGGCTGGAAAGGATCTTAAATTTTATTTACTTCAGTTCCCTCCCTACTTTTGAATTCTCTTTTGCAACATCCCTATAAAATAGTCATTAGTGTCATATATTTTAATAGAACTAATAACAGGGAATTTATTTCTCTCCAAAGTAGCCTATTTTATCTTTGCATCATTGTGACTGCACGAAAATTCCTTCTTAAGCTGCATTAGCTAAACTCTCTCCTAAACTCTCTCTTTAGTTTCCACCTGTTGGTCCATTCTCTTATCCAGGCAGTCTTAATTCATTCATATGAGACATGTGATGTCTTACTGGACACGTGATCATTGCCACATTGCTCTTCTCTTACCCAAATGAGCTGATTGTTTATGACAGGGGGTTCTGAGACCAGGCCTTTGATCTTTTTTGGTTGTTTGGCTCCTTCCCATTTGATAGCTTGATTCTGGGCAACCCTACTTAAAACTGTATTATCTATCTACCTACCTACCTACCTATTAGTCATCTATGGTAGACAGAATAATGGTCCCTCAAAGATTTCCACATTCTAATCCTTGGAACTTCTAAGTATGTTAACTTACATAGCAAAAGGAACTTTGCAAATGTGATTAAGTTAAGGATGGGATTTTGAGATGGGGAGATTATCCTGGGTTATCCAGACAGGCCCAATGTGACCAGAAAGGTTCTTGTAAGTAAGAGGGACACTTGAGGTCAGAGTGAAGGGAAGATGTTGTATTGCTGGCTTTGAAGATAGAGAAAGGATCCTGGAGCCAAGGAATGTATGTGACCTCCCGAAGCTGGAAAAGGTAAGACAATGAATTCTCTCCTAGAGTCTCCATAAGGAATGCAGTCCTGCACACCCATTTTAGACTTCTGACCTCCAGAACTATAAGATAATAAATTTATGTTGTTCTAACCACAAAAGCTTTGTGGTAACTTGTTATAGCAGAAAAAAAGAAAAGACTCATACATACTATGTATTGTCTATCTTGCAATGCAACATGACACATGCTATGAGGTGAGCTTATACATGAAAGTGAAGAAGACAGTGATAGAAGAATCGAATTTTAAAGAGTGTCTTTTAAGAGAGGGCACAGTGGAATCCCTGGTATTAGAGGAAATTCTGAATGTGTACATTTTGAAAAAGCTCCTCAGGTCACTCTAATCTCCTTACCTTATGCCTGCCTCAGTTCCTTACCTCTTAGTGTGCAAATCATTGCTTGAAATCTCTGAGCTAAACAATTAGAAGAGTGGTATTTTGACTGCTATTATTGAGTAGATTCCTATTTCCATCCAGCTAACTTGAAAATGTGTTTCATATTGGAACCAGGAGAAAAAGTGTGTGGAGATCAATGCAAATCTATCACCACAAGGAGACAAATAAGGCAGAGCACATGTGCTGCTGACTGGGGGTCAATAACATTGTCTTTGCATAAGGAGAACAATATGTCCAGCAGAGAAAATGAAAATATTAATAATTTCATGAGAGTCATATGTCACATAGGTTGTGTCGATGCTACATGAGTATGAAGGATACACCTAGCTAACTACCCCATACATCTAGAAACTTGATGATCAAGTTTGACTTTCTAAATAGATACCATCCAAATTTTCTTTTTACTGCAACTGCTTTTGAACTTTGACCTTAACGCTGCAGGTGTTTCTCATACTTACAAAGGCAAGGGAATTGAAAAGTGGTGACTTCCCTGTGCAAATAGGTAGTCATTTATGGATAAAGATACTGAGTGACTATAATGTTTTCTCCCAGAACCAGGATTATAGGTTTCAAGTGTTGCTAGATGCTGTGTTGTCTGAATACAGAAATATCAGAACTATAGTTTGGGAATAAATCTATTCCTTGGAGACCCAAAATCAGGACAGAAGGTTCTAATAGAAGTTGCAAAGGGATCCTAGGACAAAGATTACTAATAGAGCCTTAAGGCTGTCGCATGCTGTTTTCTCTGCCTGAAACATTCTCTCCCCTCCAGCCTGTAATTTAACTCTACCATAACCTTTTGAATCCAACTCAATTTCTTTGTCTAACGAAATCAGACTTCCCTGTTGTGTTACCCAGAGTACCCAGTTCTTAGTAGACTTACTAAAATTAGAATTTTTATTTATCTGGGTCTTTTTAAAATCTCTGCCATCTCCATCCATCATACTTAAAGCTACTTGGGGGAGGGACCGTGTCTCTTTCACTCACCTTTAATACCCCAAGCATTTAACAGTGCCTGGCACACAAGAGCCCCTACATAAGTTTTTTTTTTTTTAATAAAATGAGTAAAAGAATGAATGACAATATGATAAGCACACATGAATAGACCTAGAAAGAGAGTACGTTTAATTGTGAGCTGTATCAGGCTGTCTGAAGATTCTTAAGTGGTAACTATCAATTAAGGGTGAATTTCTGCCCAAGCAGCAACCATCTAAAAGCTGTACATTATGTAATGATCAAATCTTGCTGGATGGCAGTCATTCCACTTTGTGGTGATGACCTTAGATTTAACAGATACTTTACCAACAAATAGACTGGGATATGTGGTACTAAACAATCATTTTTTTAAAACCTTTGTTCCAAAATAAAATCAGGTACATAATTTATAGTGCCTAATACTTATCTCTTTGACTCGGATAGGAGATGTTAAATTTTGCTGTATGTTATATATAGAGAATGAGGCCGCAGCTCATACTCTTAGGACCATATAAAATATACATATGTTTATATATGTACATTTCTATATACATTTGCATGTTAAATTACATACATATTTACACACATATATTTAAAATATATTAATATATTTTAGTTTCTTGTTAATAGCTACATATATACAAACACATGACTATCATCATTGGCCACTAAAAAATTATTCAGATTTTTAAGTTCTCACAGAAATGCACAAAATTGAGTAAAATAAAATATTTTTAAAAATCTGACCTTGGTGATATTTTCTTATTTTGTTTTACCCCTTATGCCGCTTTTTGCATTTGAAACCAGTCTGTTTAATTTAGCTCCCACCAAAGCTCAGCTTTAAGCCTAGCTTAGCGCCTAACATTCAGTAGACCCTCAATAAATGGTATTTCCTCTCCTCATTGTCAAATTGTTTCATCTAGGGAGGGATGATTGCCAGTTTTCATGTGAACCAGAGTAGCACTGGGTAGATGGAAGAGAAAACCGACGTGAACTTTTGTTGTCTGTCCTTGTGTACAAATTTAAAATTCTATGGTACATGTGTTTTCAAAATTAGTCCAAAATAGGACATTTTACAGCCTTAATATTTCAACTCTCTGCGACCCTGCATAATACATGCTCTTGCCAACTCTCCATTATGCTGCATAGGTTTTCAAGGGCTAATCTCATGTGCCAAGAACACCCTTCTCTCTTTCAGGCTAAGTGTGATTCTGCACCAAAGACACTCCAACCACAATCACAAAGACATGCAAGCTAATGCCAGTGTCAGAGCGGCTTTTGTGCACGCCCTTGGAGATCTATTGCAGAGCATCAGTGTGTTAACCAGCGCACTTATTATCTACTTTAAGGTGAGAATGTTTGAGTTTACTCATTGTCATAGTACGTTTATAGATTAGGTAGTACAGAAGGTGACCTGTCAATATTAACTTAAATGAGGGTGGACAGCCTATTTGTCTATACCAACTGCTTTGCAGGGTTTACACAAGCAAACAAATGTTCAAAGCCTGAAATCTTAGACTTTCCAAATTCCTAAGTGCTCTGTCTTCAACTGTAGGGCTATCAGTCTTTCCAGAAAGTAGTTCCTTTTGTCATGGAGTTAAGGTGAACACCATGGATACCTTAAGTTTCTTGGGTTGTATGCAACAGAAAAGATGTCTAGCTTACTTAAGCAAAAATATATTTATTGGCTGAAATTTACTAGATGTACTCTTGGACAGAAATCAAGGTAGAAATAAGGGCAACATTGGGTATCTTAGATTTTAGAAACTTATCCACATTCTGTCCCAGGTACCAATGCAGAAATGAATGTGATTCAACAATTTTTTTTTCCCCATTTCTTGTCATTCTGCTGGGGAATCATATTTCTGGGAAAGAGAGTCCAACAGACTAAGGTTGGGTCTTTTACCTGCTGCTTGGCTGGGGAGGGAGAACACCTGATTGACTGCCCCACCAATAGCACCCACAATGGGGGAAAGATAATTCTCCTCTCAAAATCAGGGTATTAATAAGAAGTTGGATGGATCCTGGATGAACCTCTGACCCTAAACAAACATTTACTACAGATCTGTTAGACCAAGAACTAACAGAAGTGGGTTGGGATATAGGTGGGGGGTAATGGAGAAGAGCATTTAGCTCTCTCATTTGCATCTTGATCATCCAGTTAGCAGGGATTCCTTATCATTTTTACTAAAAAATGAAAACACATAAATAAAAATTACAAAGATGTATCTGAATTCAATTGAACAAATATTCATTGAAAGCTTTAAGTTTAAGGCAAAATTGTTCAAACTTGTACTGGTTAGTGGAGTTTGAGAGTTTCTCAGAGGTAATGAGGCATGGACTCTTCTGTGGAACAGAACTTCATCAAGGGCAGAAGACCAGGTACCTCAGCCTGAGGCTAAGGGCGCCAGTGGTGAGACAGTGCAAGAATGAGGCCTCAGCTCATACTCTTAGGACTTAATCAAAGATGCCTGCCTCGAATATGTGTCATCCTGAAAAGGGAAAGAAAGGAACTAACCCCAGTCTGCCAAGACCAAGCTCCAGCTGGACCTTGGTCATATGCAACCTCTGGGCAGGTGATACCCTTTCTTCTCATCATGAGGAAGGCTGAAAAGCCATTGAATATTGTATAAACTTGTGCATATTTTCATCACATACTCTGTGCTTCTATTAATTTGAGAAAAGTCAAATCAGGCCTTTGGAGAGAACACTCAAGGATATTTTTCCCTGTACATAGTTCGAAGCTTAAAAGAAGGATTGAGTCTTCAGGAAGTCTTGGCTCTGAGTTGGATGTCAAGTGTCAGGGAGGTGAAAGGGTGACTGTGAAAAAGAAGCAGGGACGTTTATTTATTTTATTAATCAGACTTTTTGCATGGAGGGCCCGAATTCAGTTAACTGAAGTCCCTTTATTTTCTAGCCAGACTATAAAATGGCTGACCCAATCTGCACATTTGTCTTTTCCATCCTGGTTCTGGCCAGCACCATCACTGTCTTAAAGGACTTTTCCATCTTACTCATGGAAGGTAGGAGTGACTTTATTATTATTTCCAGGATCAATGTTTTCTCTTCCCTATAATCACAGAAGGGAATGGCATCAAGGCATGTTCACCGTTAATTTGCATTCTAAGGAAAATATAAATTTGTAAGGAATTTTTGTGAAAACAAAATGATTTTTATTCGTATGGGAACAAATAAAAAAAAAACCTGGCTTCTCTTTTCCTCCAGCAACCATTAAATAATAATATGGCACAGTATAAAAACAATATGTACAAATACTAAGGATAGATATTGAGGGAGATATTGCAAAAACATAAATTCCTCCCTAAATATATGGAAAATACCTAAGAAAAATTGAATGATCTCTCTCTCAGGCAGCATTATAACTCCTATGAAGGGCTTGCCTAAAACCCCTGTTAGACCAGGCCAGCAGTCCTCCAACTTCAGTGCATCAGAATCACTTGGGATCTGCTGGGTCCACCCCCATATTCCTGAACCAGTCTGGAGTGAGGCCCAAGAATTTGAATTTCTAACAAGATGCTGATGCTGCTGGTTCAGGGACCACACTTTGAGAACAACTGGAATAGTCTTTTCATAGCATTTAAAGGGTTACTACATGAGGGCACTGAGAGTGGCACCTAGAAAATTCAATCAGAATTAGAGGGTTGCATCACATCAAGCATTCAGATGATCAAAACTATCCAGACCTTGGCTTGACCTTTTCTTTTTTGTCCAGCACATTTTGACATAAGGCCAATACAGTCTCAGAGCGCAGGTGCCTAGACAAAAGCCCACACTTCCTTAGGATTCACTGCTGAGTACACGTTTAAGGGTTTTGTCCCGTTGGGCACTATAACTGTTAGAGTACTTGTACTTAATGAAATTTTCTAAAAATATGGAAAGGTATAAAATTATAGAAAGTCTCCCCACTTTTCCACCTTTGAAATCTCAATCCCATTCTTCAAGGGTAACACCTACTAATAAGTTGAAATATATCTGTCCAAAAATATTTATGCATTTACATATATATGTACCTGAAATATATATGTATCTATAGAGTATATATATCTTTTTTTTATACAAACAGAATTATGCATTGATACATATTTTGTTCTGCACTTTATTTTCTTCACTTGGAGGTCTGTCCATATTAGCACATACAGAGATACACCCTATTCCTTTCCATGGTACAAAGTATTCCACTGCATGCATGTACTTGCTTATTGATAGATATTAGAAATAACAGTGTAATTACCATTCTGCACATATATATTTTTAATGCTTGTATATCTGTAGTGTAACTCCTAGAAGTGGTATTGCTGTTTCAAAAGTTATATGCATTTTAAAATTTGGTAGATATTGCCATTTCTACCAAAGATACCATATCAATTTCTTTCCCACAAACAGCATGTGAGAATGCTCATTTCCTCACATCCTCGCCATCATTGAGTATTATCAAGATGTTGATCTTTTCTAATCTGATAGGTGAAATATTATAGGTTTTTGATTCCATATGCAATTCCTTCATTATGAGAGATATTGAGTGATTTTTCATATATTTATTAACCTGAGTAATTATTTTTTAAACACTAATTTGGGTATTTTCCTGGATGCATTGATATGTCTGCAGGCTCTCTCTCAGGAAAAAAATTTCTAATATATGATGGAGCACTGAAGGCCACTGGGAACATTTCCTCTTGCTTGTCAACATTATTCTAGAGAGTAAAATAAGTAACAGTGGATTTGTGTTCTCCATAAAAGTAAAGAGATAAGTGAGGCAAGAGGGAAGGGGGTAGTGGGCTTGTGATTTCATCTCAAGGGTCCTAGATGAGGACAATAGGTCTTCAGAGGGTCACATGAAACTCCTCAGAGATGACACATTAGGCATAATAATCAATTTTGGGTTGCAAGACTTAGACTCTATTGGTATAACATTTCACACTCAGAGCATGGACTTGAGAATCTGATGTCCCCCTTCTCTATTTGGCCTTAGCAATGGTTCTTAACCTCTCTGACTCCCAATTTCCTCTCTCCCAATTAAATAGGAATTGTGACATTGATAATTAGCTCTTAAAGTTCTTATCTCTATTAAGTAAGCTAATCACTATGAATACAGTACTTAGCATAAACCTTGACATATGGTAGTTTCTCAGTAAAGGTCTGTTATTATCATTACAATATAACAATGTCGACCATGACTCCATACACTTCTATGGCTAATCTAAGAACTCTTTTAATTTGTTTCTAGTGCCCTGAGCTCTGTGCAGCTCACAGAGTAAAAGAACATGCTCTTTGTTACCTCCATGAAACAACATGAACCAGCTCCTTGTTACCTCCATGAAACAATATGAAGTGGGATTAAACTAAACTAAAACTGTAGAGAATTTTAATATTAACTCCAAGAAGGAAATCCCCATGAGCAAAGTTCTTAAATCCTGGAAAAGGAGAGTTAAGGATTCCCTATTCCTTTAACTAAGTTGTTCTTGACTAACTGCTCATTCTAATCTTTTGGGAAGCTTTTTAAAATACTTATGTCCAGGCCCCATACCCAGAGATTCTGATTAATTGACTCAGGTGGGGGCTGGCTTTGATGTTTTTTAAACATGCAGCCAAGCTTGAGAACTAGAGCTGCCCAGTGGTTTGTAAACGTTAGTGCAATGGTTCTCAAACTTGGCTGTTAGTCACCAAATGAGCTATAAAAATAGTGATGCTTCATCTTATCCCCAGAGGGTCTGATTTAATTGGTCTTAGATGTAACCTGGCAATCAGGATTCCTAAAATCTCCTCTGATGATACTAACGTGCATTCAAGGTGGAGAGCCACTTCGAAAGCGTGTCAATTTCAGAGCCTCATCCATAGAAATTTTCTTTGGAAGGACTGGAATGGAGCTAAGACATATTTATTTTTAACAAACACAGCAGGTGTTCATGTTGTGTATATATGATTGAAGTAGAAGTTAAAATGTGGTCATCCTTAGAAATCTCTTCTACAGCATCCTCTTTGGGTCATCGTTAGTTGGCAGGGATTTACTTATTGCATCAAGTGGCTTTATCAGTGTTATGCTGGTTGAGTTGATAAAAAAAAACTGATATTAAATTGATGTGTTTTACAATTCTAACCCACCATTGGCTTGCCTTCTCTCTAGCCAAAGCAAGGACCCTTACACTTTCATAGCCTCTCATCTTCCAAATGACAATCCTTGCAATGTTTGAGAAAAGTGATCCTTCTGCCCTGAGCTTTCACTTCTTCAAGCTAGAGAAACCCCAGTTCCTTCAGCCCAAAAGAATTGTTGATTGGCTGACAGGGTCCCTACCTTCTTCTGTGCCCCTACACCATTCCTTTAGAAGCAAGGATGATGTCAAACTCTGACATTATGTGACCTGAACCAATAAACCCTGACTAATGCACGTAAATCAATAAAAATTCTATAAACTGAGTAATAAGATGGCATTATAATGTTAGTAGCAACTATTAACACAGTTCAGTAAGTGACTTGTTGGATAACTACTATTTACATAGCATTGCAAGTGTATAAAGAGCAGATATTTTCCCATTTGCTCCTCAAAGAACTTAGTATACCTATTGCTCTTTCTGTCCCTATTTTAACCACAGATGTGCTGAGGATCAGAGAAGTTCCAAGATTTGGGTAAATTCATGGTAGTTGTGGTCAGAGTGCTAACCCAGAATTACTTGATACCAAGTCCCATGTTTCTTCATTTTGCTTTCTAGAGTGTATGCAAAGATCATTAGAAAAAGCTCAGTTGGTTTAATAACACACACCAAAAACAGAGAATGATTACTATTGTTGGTTATTGCATAACATCTGCAAACAGTCTTTGATGTTAAACCCTTTGAAAGAGTCAGGTGAATTTGAATTGTAAACATCTGAAGTCAGAAACCAGAAAGGGGGAGGGCACATTGATATTCCGGAGCAGATTTTGCGGCCCCTTTTAGCCATGTGGATGAGCTGTATTTAGTTAAATAAAAACAACCTCCGTCCCTCCCTTTCCTCTTGTCAGGTGTGCCAAAGAACCTGAATTACAATGATGTGAAAGAGCGCATCTTAGCAGTGGATGGAGTGGTGTCTGTGCACAGCTTGCACATCTGGTCTCTAGCAATGAACCAAGTGATTCTCTCAGCTCATGTTGCTGCAGGTCAGTGTGTTCTGTAAATACCCTGTCAAAATTCAGTCCTTGTCCTGTAAACTCAATAATTTCCCTCCTTTCTGTAGAGCTGCCTATAGTGTCCATTGCCTATCAAAACAACTGTGGAGTGTTTCCTTTTACCAAGGCCTTTGAAAGCACCTCTGGTCAAATTTATCGTAGCAACAATAATACTGAAGGCACCCCTTGAGGCAGACTGCAGAGCGTATCAGGTAGAATAGATGGTTTAAATGCCACCCAGACTTCAAGGTCTTAGACTCTGAAAATCAGACCTCACCTGTTTGAGTTGGTACCCAATCAGTTAAATAATGGGATGAAGTCAACAATAAATCTTCGTTGAATATTTCCTGTGTCTAAGATGCTCTGTGTATCACTGAAGATAAAAAGATGAAGGAGACATAGGTCCCATCTTTAAGGTTCTAATAAGCTAAAAGACGTGCTAGCAGGGTTTAATGGTGGTTCCCTCACTGGATGGTTAGAAATTCTGTAATCATGTGAGATAATTCTTAGGACGTTGGGTTTATTCTAAAAACTACTTTCTCAAGTAGAAGGTGATTTGTCCATTATGTGTCCTTGGGCTGGGGAAATAGGCAGTGGAGAAGGGGAAGGGAGAGGATCCCTCACTGCCTCAGGAAGACAGCTCAGGCAGCTAAAAAATAAGAAGTCACGTAGAGGCAGGCTACAGCAACAACGGTGACAGGCATTTGAGGACTATGCTTTCTTTGACATCATCATCTTTGCTGAGAGGCTCAGATCTGGCTACAGGTAATTTATAGCATCTGCTACACCAATATCTCACTGCAGATGGAAGAATCTAGTAAGCAGTCAGGTTACTATGGAGGGAAACTTACAGTCTCCAGATGCCTTTTGGGACAAGAGAAAAGATGGCAGTGAGATTGCTGCTCTAAGAACAGTTTGTGGGGAGCTCTAAATGTTTCCCTGTTCCTATCACTAGTCTTGATGTAAATGCTGATGAGATACAAGGGCTGCAACCCAGAGAGCTCTGGGGACTGGTGGAAAGGGCATATAAGAAATAAATAGCTGTGTCTTAGCTTCCTTCAGGTCTTATCTCCCCTTCCATGCTCAGCTTCTAAGTGTGCCAGACCCCAGAGAGAACTGTGGGCAGGAAGAGTTCCCACAGTGATGGGTACTTTGCCGCACTCGAATTTCCCCGTTTTGTCTGTGCCAACGGAGCTGTCAGAGGCAACATGGCTTCTTCTGAGTGCCCCACCTACGCCCCTCCCATCAGGTCAAAGACAAAGTACTTGAAGCTGGAAATGTAGCAGTCACCCACGTGTGTGCAATCAGTGCCAATCTTACCATGGTTCTTTCTCAACAGTAGCCAGCCGTGACAGCCAGGTTGTTCGGAGAGAGATTGTTAAAGTCCTCAGCAATAGCTTTGCTCTGCACTCACTCACCATTCAGATGGAATCTCCAGCTGACCAGGACCCCGACTGCTTTTTCTGTGAAGACCCCCGGGACTAGTTCAGTCACAACATCGACTTCTCGCATTTGACGGGCCACTATATGCTGCTCTGTGGTTTCCAGCACACAAGAAATAAAGAACCAAAGGAAGAAGTTTGAGAAATTCATGACACTGTACAGTGCACCTTTTATCCTTCTTTATTTAGCTCCATCCACCATAGATGAAAATCCATTTAGATTCATCAGCCAATTGGATTAGCAACTCATCAGTAGCTGTGTTCAATTACAGGAATGTGTGTATAGACTGTTCCTGACTGGGGCTGAAGTAACAGCTGTTTGTAGCCAGAGGCAATAAAAAGTTCATCTCCCTTCAATAATGTATCCTGAGGATGAGTGGGTAAAATTGAACTCAGGAAAGTCTTATTAGAGTCGGCACCTAGGAATTCTCCCAAAACATGAGAAGCAAAAGAAGAACAGCCAAGCCAGGTTAAAAGAGATTCTGGAGACCTAACACCCACTATAACTTGACTCTCTCCCCATGTTATAATATGATTTTGAGCACTATCTTTTTGCTCCATATCCACATCACTATTCACCAAATGGGGTACAAATATCCTCTTTCCCTCTTGCTTACAAATTATGTTTTAATATGCTGAAACCATTGAATGATATTTTATTTGTCTGTATAAAAGCTCTGGACAAATGAAAAATTATGAAATTGCTGCTTTTTGAGTGTTTTCATGTAGTGTGAACTAATAATAAAATAAGGAGGCACAGAGCATCAGGGTTCTTGTCCCAGGTCACATGGGAAATAATTCAGTCGAAGAATTAAGAACTCCCAGATCTTGAATAATACTGATGGAGTCCCAACTATTGTCTAGGTATTGTACCAGGCTATTTAGATGTGTCACTTCATTTTATTTGAATGTCAACTTTGGAAAGTTGGAATTAATACCATCATTGTAGATAAGGACATAGGCTCACAGAGGTTAAGTAACTTAACCAATGTCATTTATTTATCCATTCATTCAAAAATAATTTGTCAATGCAGGCTATGAACTGAGCATTGGTGAATTATGTCAATGTGGTCTTTATGTTCATGGAGCTCCTTCCCTTTTGTTGGGGAGACAGGCATTCCACCAATAAACACCAGGAATGTACCACAAATAGTGGCAAGTGATGAAAGAAGAGAGCCTGGTTTAGATTGGGGGAAGTCAGTGGAGATCCTCTCTGAAGAAACAGCATCCAAGTTGAGACCTGAACAGATAAGTAGGCGATAGCCAAATGAATTATAGGAGGAAGTACATTCTAGAAGAAGCAAGAGCATGAGTGGCACCAAGAAGAAAGAATTTGGTGCATGGGAGGAAATGAGGAAGGCCCTTGTGGCTGGAGGGTACTAAGTGAGCGGTGAATTAAAAAACATGGAGGACATCAGGGAGGAGAGATGAGCAAGTGCAGTTGGCAAGGCAAGATTTTCTCATTCAGAGTCACTGATTATATAATTCCATGCTTCTAGCACTGATTGTAGCTTAAAGTAAAATAAAGATGTACAGGCCTACATCCTGGAAATTTTGAGTCAATGGGTCTGGTTTGGAATCTAAACATCTGGATTTTTTTTTTTTTAACATACCCAGAGATATTCTAAAGAATAGCTGGAATCTAAAAGAACTTCAACCAGGAGCACCTGGGTGGCTCAGTTGTTAAGTGTCTGCCTTTGGCTCAGGTCATGATGCCAGG